GAAAGAAAGAAAGAAAGAAAGAAAGAAAGAAAGAAAGAAAGAAAGAAAGAAAAGAAGCTCTGGTATCTTGCAAACGAGATGTCTATTTTTAAAGAGGAAAATTAAGCCGGAAGAAGTCATGGAAAATGTTCTCCTGAATGCAGGCAGAGAGTCTTCTGTCATTATTGCTGTTGATTAATGAAGCAAATTTCCAGACCCGTGCTTTGGTTTGAACACAGGAAGGAAACCCCTGGCTGGCTTAACTCATTGGAGATCTGTGTGGAAGAGGCAACAAAGGAGTGTAAGAACTAAAGGTGATGGCTGACTTCATGGAGGCAGTTTTCCAGACACAACAGGCCAGGTGCCCGCCAGCTCACATCATGCACATTCCCCGAGCAAGTGCAAACCAAACAACAGTCCCCACAAGGGCAAGGGGGCTCAAAGCTCCACTCCAGCTATTCACAAGTTGTAGCTCTTAGGAGAAGGAAAATCAATTTCTTCAGTGACATGACACTGGGTGTATCAACCAGACCTCATGGCCCAGAGTAGATGGCCAAGAAATCCAACTTCATGTCGCTGGACAGAGAACGTGAGGTGCTGAGAGAAGAGAGGTGGGGAGGATTTGGAGGACTTGGGGGAAAGTGAGAGAATGTGGCCAACATATATTATATTAAAATCTCAAAGAATAAAAACATTTTAATAAAGAAAATAAAATGCTTGCTCTCCCTGTGCTGTGCCTTTTTCTCTGTTTACAAGCTACCAGGTTTATTTAGCTTTTTAAGGGAAGAATGGTCCACAAGAATAATGGACTGTCTAAAGAAAGCTTTAGTTGGACAAATTTATTTATAAAACTCTGAATGCACATAGTCAAAGCTGAGACTCAGCACCTCGGAGCCTTGGCAAAGTTGGTGTCATGATGCCCATACTGCGAGTCACTAAAGCCCTGAGCAGAGTTCTAAGTATTTAGTTTTTAAAAGACCTCCTTCCTACTCACAACATCTTCTAAGCTCAGCTTTATCTGTTATTCTGGTCCCCAACGGCCTGGACCTTTCTGTAGAACAGCAGGTAGGTCATGAGGGCCACACCCAGGAAGAGTGTCACACCAGTTCTCCAGCCCTTCCTGTAGGACTTCAGCCATCCCCACAGCCCAGCTAGCCTCCAGGTGCTCAGGGGCTTCTCTCGGCATGCTGCCACCTTCTCTGCCACCTGGGCGAGTTGGCCTTGTGGGTCACTACCCCGCAGGGCCCCCACCAGCTCATACAAGTCATTAGAGTAGTGCGTGCCCCCGCGCTCCCTCACCAGGCGTGCTACCAGGCCCAGCAACTCCTCAGCCTGTGCCTCGCGTTCCTGGCCTGTGGCACGGTTGTTGAGGGCGCACACGCGGCCCCCGCACTCGGCCACCAGCTCCTGCAGGGCATGGTTGTCTGTGCAGTACACGTAATCCTGAAAGGAGTCTCCTGCCAGGTCCTCCTTGCGAGTGAACACCACGATGGTCCGCCCCATCACCTGCTCTCCAAACACCCTCTTCACCACAGCCAGCGCCTGGCAGTCCTGTGAGGTGAAGCGACCCAGCTGGGTGACCAGCAGCAGGGCGTGAGGCCCGGGCGCAGACAGCAAGAGGCAGCGGGCAGTCTCCATGCATGTGGAGTCAGTTCGCAGGGTCTGGAAGCTGAAGATATCTGGAGTGTCCACCACCTCCACGCGCCAGCCAGCCCATCTCCTGCTGGCCCAGGCGCAGGCTCTGGTGACAGGCACTGCACCCAGCCTGGACAGGAAGCAGTTCTGGCCCAGAATGGTGTTGCCAGTGGCACTCTTGCCAGTCCCGGTCCTGCCCACCAGGATGAGCCTCAGTGGGGGCTCCTGCAAGTTCTCCTCTGAGCCTGAGGATCAGATTTGGCAGCATTGAGTCAGAGACCTAAGCTTTTCCCTGGATTGGCCTTGTGTTCTAGCCTTCCGCATAAAAGGGAAGGACAGTGTTCTCCTTGGAAGCCTGATGCCCCAACCTGCTTTGGGCTCTCTGAGCTCAGGCTCCTCCCCATCTCCCCTTTCCTCATTTAGATTCTCTGTGTACCTACAGGTGCTCCCATTGAGTTTCACAACCTGTTCTTTTATAACTCGTGGGTCTTCCAGGTCCTCTGGTTCTGCACCCACAGGCCAACCTGCTGCTGCTTTGGCCCTAATGTTCCCTGAGATGCAGGCAGTCGAGCAGAGGGGAGTGCCTCCATTCAGACAGGGGTTGAATCTCAGCCCACCTTGTGCTCCTTGTGTAACTGCAGAGAGTGCTCAGTCAAGGACACATCTCAGAAGTGGAGATAGTCTGAGGCTTTCTCTGGGTTCTTAGAGGAGAGAGAGTTCACCTTCTTCCCTCTTTCACTTCTCCTAAGCCAGCACCCTAAGGAGAATACCTCCTTTTTGGATAATATTTGATTACATTTTATTGACTGGAGGCAGGGGCACACCACCATACCTTAAGGAGGCAAAGGTCACCTTTCAGGAGTCGACTCCCTCCTTCCATCATGTGGGCTCAGGAGTTGAAATCGGCTCATTAGGTGTGGCAGCTTGTGCCTTTACCCACTGAGTCATCTCCCTGGTGTCAAATACTGGATACCCAGTTAATCCCCCATCCTCCTAACACTGGGGACCTGGTGAGTGATGCTCACTCTAATACTGGATTTCCCATCCTGTGTCATTGTTGTGAAGACCAGAGTAGATTTACCATCCTCCCTTCATGCTGAGCAGCGACAGGCTGGTCAAAGCCCTCAGCTTCTCCAAGCAGGGTAGAGTCAGAGACACAGCCAAATGCAGGACCCTGGTCCTCTGGTTTCATCCCAGAGGCTTCCAGACCTGAGCAAGCTCCACCTCTTTCTTACCCTGAGCTCACACACCAGCAGGAAGCATTTCAGAGAAGGGCTCTTACCATAGGCACTCTCCTCGTCTCTTGCCATCTTCCTTCCCCCCATGCTTTTTAGTAGACTCTCAGTGTCTGTGTCTTCATTCATGTGTTCATTCCTACAACTGGGAAAAACCCAAACACTAAGTCAAGCAAAGTCTAAAGAACAGAGGACTGAGTTCCAAAGTAAGGCTTTTGTCTGCAAGTTGCTGAACGTCTAGGTGTGTGCTTCAGTTTACAGGCAAGTGTCTAGAGACAAGGTGGGTGCTTTTTTCCCTCATAGTAAATTCTGCTGTTCCTTCTTAGAGATAACATCTGGATTTTAAAGAATAACATCCAGGAGGATGAGAAAGATGGTTTCAGTGCTAGATTGACAACCTGAGATTGCTCTCCTGATTTTGGTAACGTTGATGGAGAGAACCAATTGTACCAAGTTAAGGGTCTCTGAGCCATTCTCTTTAATCACTTCCTTCCACCACTGAGGTTCTGACTGTAACATGATCAAATGTAGCCAAGTACTTACTTGCTAGTCACCTGTTCCCCCAGGAGCCCCTAAGCAAAAAGCATAGTGTTCCCCCAGTCTGCTGCTCCAGCCTTCTTTCCAGCTAACCGTCTCAACCAGTGGCTGCCCAGAAGGCAGATTCAGCCTCTCCAGCCTTCTCTGGCCTTTCTCTAGAGATGAGTTTGGTTCCACATTCTGTCTGAGTGCTTATCTGCATCTCTCCATCATTTCAGAGTCTCTCGCTTTGTTTCCACTGCCAGTGTTGTGTTCTTTCCCACACTCCTTCCTCTGGGCACCACACACACAGAAAAAGGGAATATTAACTGAATAGCCTGTCTCCCTCCGAGGGGTCTCAGGAGCAGGTTTGGCTGGCACTCCTTCCCTCTCTCCAAAGCCTTTGGTAGAACTCACTGTGTGGGTCCATGGTCACTGTTTTGTGTGCAGATATCAACAATGCCCATAAATGACACAGGTCAGAAATGAAGAAAAGCCATACAACCTAGAGCTATGAAGAAGGTTTCTGAGGGAACCCGAGGATCTTATTGTCCTGGAGGAAAATGAGAGCACGTGTCAGGAGCTTCATGGGAAGTTCAGGGCAGGCCACCAGGACTCCCCAAGTTCAGAGTGGAGACTGAACTTCAGAGAAAAGTCAACACTGAGTGAAATCTTGGGTGTCAAAAGGTTTTTATAATCTGGGAACAAAAAGCATGTGCAATTCTGTATGTTTAAGAAAGTCCAAAAGAACCACCTTGTTCCTTGCCTCCAGGACTGATGATTTTTAGAAATGTTTAGGAGTTCCCCTGTACACTACGTTTCTTGGACCCATCCTCAGTAGTTATGATAAAACAAATGAGATATTTCTCATGAGGATAATTATACCCAGAATTTGAAAGTCAGTATTTCTCAAACCCTTCATTGTAGACATAAAGAAACTGAGGTGTCCCTATGGCTGGAGTGAGACAAACTTGAATCAAGAAACAAAGTGAGGGCAGGGCTTGATGAGCAAATTCTATTCCTCCTAGGTCCACTAGAGCCCCCTCCTACAGGCAGAGAGAAGCAGACTTCTGAGAGAGGCAGAGGTGGAACACTGAGAGTAGCCTTGAAAGCACGGTTTATAGGACACAGAAGTATCCTTTGCTCTTGCTGAATGTGCGTCATGAGGAATGGTGTCTTGTAAACTGTGCTTTGCTCCTGGGAGGAGATCTAGAACAGATTTCTCTTACTATGTGCAAGAAGTGTGGGAAAAGATAAGTTTCGTTCATCAAAAATATGTGCGCTCCCGGGACATCTTCCAAATTTGTCAAGATAAAATTGATACCAGCCCAACGCATCTGGCAGCCTGCTCTTGCCTGTGCCCCATGAATGGTGTGCACCTGCATGGTGCCTTGTAAACTGCAGTGTGTAGGTATCAGGCATTTTGTTCTCACAGTCCAGACCCCCCCCCCAACCCCAGCTCACAGGCTCAGGCTCACCTTTCTTGGTGACAGACTCTGAAGTGGCCCACAGAAGCCCCAGCCTTCTCCTTCCCTTCAGTCTCTTTGTCCCCAGGGCTGAGCATAGAGGAAGTTGCTGGGCTGCCTGGGTCTTAGAGATCAGGAAACAGAGAGAAAGGCCCAATGATGGCTTAAAGAGACAGAAACATTTTCTATGTGGTTGTGGTCTTAGAATTTCCCCTCTGGAATCACTCACTTGATCTTCTTTGTGACTGAGGGGATCCATATGTCCAGCAGCAACAATAGCATCAAACATGTTTCCAAAGCCAAAGAAGAAAAGGAAGGTCTAGAATCCTGAGGTCTGACTCTATTCTTGTATTGGTTACTGCTAATCTTCGTTCTTTTTGCTCTTTAAGGATTTCTTTTGCTACAAAATAGTATCCATGCTGAGGCAGAAGGATGAGAAATTTAATGTCATTCTAACCTACTTCAGAAGACACCATCTCAAAAAACGAAACAAAACACTAAAGGCTAGAAGTATAACTCACTGATAGAGCATTTGCCTGGAATATACAAGGTCCTGTGTTATGTGAATTATCAAAAAACAAAGATAAAAATTGCCAAAGAATAGAATATCTAATATCACTAAGACTGATATTGGTTATGAGTGATTAATTTTTAAGTTAGTGTATACATGCTTTATTCATTCTTATTTCACTAAATAAATGCTTTTATTGGAGGTGTGAGTTATTTTTAAATGTCTTAATGGTTGGAATAATTGCATGATTTTTCTTCTGATTTCTTAGTATTGTAAACTATGTTTTTGTGTATGTGTTTTTATGTACTATCTGTATACATTTATGCATATTGTGTCTTTGTATGTGTGTCAATTGTTGGGTTCCAAGGCATGTGGACTATTGAGGTGGAGATACAATGGTGACAAAAGAAGCTACCAGGAAGCCACCTTGAGATTACACCTGAGAGGGGAAGGTAGGAATACACAGTTGGGAGGACATAAGTTAGACTGAGACAGTCACTACACATGTTGGCTCCACAGGGAACTCTACAGTTTGTAGAGTCCTTGAGATTGGAGGCAAGGGGACTGGATTTCACGGCTCTGCCAGCCGGCTGTTGGATGCAAACTTCCTCTGGAGTGAACACTTAACTTAGAGGCATCTCTCTTCGGCAGATGCTAACCTCTGGGCAAGGGTGACAGCCAGACAGTGAGGACAGCCAGTTGGCAGCACTCCTGGTCTGGAGAGCAAAGGACTGTCTGTGCGCTGCTCCTACAGGTCGTGCATGAGGATGTAACTTCTCTTGCTTCATTGTCTGAGCCACTTGAAGAGATGTCTCAGCATAGCTTTAAAGATGTCCCCTCAAAGCACCGGCATTTCCAACTTAGGGAGACTGAGGCAGCAGGATCATAGTTTATGGCCAGCCTGGACAACTGAATAAGACCCTGTCTCAAAACAGTAATTACAAGGGCCTGGGAATGTAGCACATGATATAATGCTTATATATCCTAACATGTGGGAGGCCTGAGGCTCAATTCTGACCAGATGTGGTGGGAAACTCCCAGGAACACTGTTTCTTCGTCTGCCTCTCCACTCTTGCCTTTGTAACACCAACCTTCGAAGGAACATTTTCCAGGTGTCCTATTCATCAACACATCATGTGAACATAGAACTCGACAAATAAGGGGAAAAAGTGAGGAAGGGGAAGGAGGAGCCAGCAGGGCTAAAATGAATGAGCAGGGCTTACTGAGAACTATCCAATCCACAGCAATTCATTTTATTCTTGCAGTCTCAAGCAATTATGGGAAATGATTCAGACCGCAGACATATTAAGACACCGTTGACAAGTGTCCTGTGGTTTCTCACACAGTCCTGTTCGTGAAGAAGTTCTGCTTAATCAGAGATCCTGTGATGATTGTTCTCAGGACTCATGAGCTATGAACTTATGCCCTGTGGTTGGAGAATAAACTGCATATTTTATCAATACTTAATATCATTAATATCATACTCAATATCATTAATTATTGGATTTATATGGCTTGTAGTTGCCTTTTGAGTAGCAGCTACAGTATTTATTTGCTTTCCCATTTTCTTTTTCAGTACTGAGTATAGAACCCTGTACTTAGCACATGGATGCTAGGGAATAGCTGTAGCATTAACCTGTATCTCTGCACCTGCCCTCTTTTTGTTAAGAATTGTTTTCTTTCTTTTTTTTAAAAAAATTATTTAATATGATTTATTCATTTTGTATTTCTGCTGTAGCCTCCTCCCTCGTCTCTTCCCAGTCCCACCCTCCCTCCCTCTTCTTCTCCTATGCCCCTTTCCTAGTCCCCTGATAGGAGAAGACCTCCTCCCTTTCTATCTGACCCTAGCCTATCAGGTCTCATCAGGGCTTGCTGCATCATCTTCCTCTGTGGACTGACAAGGTTCTACCCTCCCTCCTCATCGGAGGTGATCAAAGAGCTGGCCACTGAGCTCATGCCAGAGACAGCTTCTGCCCCCCTTAGTTGGGAACCCATTTGGAAACTGAGCAGCCTATGGACTTCCTCTGAGCAAGAGTTCTAGGTACTCTCCATGTATGGTCCTTGGTTGGAGTATTGGTCTCTGCAGGCCCCACTGGGCCCAGGTGTTTTTTTTTCCTTTGTTGGATACAGAAAGTGTAGTGTATACACACTGTAGTATACAATGGAATACTACTCAACAATTAAAACAAGGAAATCATGAAATTTGTAGTCAAATGCCGGGAACTAAAAAAGATCATCCTGAGTGAGGTAACCCAGACTCAGAAAGACACATATGGTATACACTCACTTATAAGTGGATGTTAGACATATAATATAGGATAAACATACTAAAATCTATAGTCCTAAAGAAGATAAACAACAAGAAGGATGCCAAGGAAAAGGCTGAAACCTCACTCAGAAGGGCAAACATGATAGACAGCAGAAGTAGGAGAAGACAAAGAACAGGACAGGAGCCTTCCACAGGGGACCTCTGAAAGACTCTACCCACCAGGGTCTTGAAAGAGATACTGAGACTCATAGCCAAACTTCGGTGGGAGTGCAGGAAACCTTCTGGAAGAAGAGGAAGATAGAAAGACCTGGAGGGGACAGAAACTCTGGCCCTCTTTGTACCTCTCATTTTAGGACAATGTGTCACTAAGCTCCCCAAGCTAGCCTTGACTTTTACTCGGTAGCTAAGGCATGCCTCAAACTTGCCATCTTCCTGATTCAGCCTCCCCAGAGAACTGGTATTACAGGCCTGCATCACCAGGCTTGGCTCAAGCATGCTTTTTAGCAAGATGATACAGAATACTGTGTGTGTGGTGAGGGAAGGGACACAGGTAAAGATGGGATAGAAGTTGAAAAGCAGAAAGAATAAATGGATTTTATATATAAAAAAAAAAAAAAAACAAAATCCAAGCCTTGGTGGAGAGACATGTTACTGGCAAGGTTTACAGTAGCCTCTTGTAAGCTTAATTAGCCTTCTGTCCTCTGGGGCAAGTTTTGGACTCTATACTGTAATGGAAGTTTTGGCTTCTTTGTATGTTATGTAAATATGTTATTTTTTTAATCCCAAGTGTGGGGTGTTAGTTGGGCTATAGTTTGTCCACACTTGTTAATTGTCTCCTGTGGACTGTGGCTTTTGCCAGCTGGTAACGGCCTTCTTCATGTGGCAGAGAGGAGAATGAGAGTATAGGACTCTGAGAGTATAAATTTGAGGCCAAGAAAGAGACTCGGTGGCATTCGATATGGTACTCTGTGTTGGCGTACGACATGTAGCAGTTTGAAGAGAGCAGAGACCAGAGACCAGAGCTGGTGTGGTAGTTTGGAGGAGACAAATGGCTGCAGCAGTGTGGAGGAGACTGCTTGCTTCATCTGCAATTGACAAAGATTGGTAGAGAGCCCTAAAATAACCCTTGACCCTAACTATCGAGGAGAAGTGAAGGGGTCGGGCCCCCTCTCTCCACCTTTTTTCTTTCCTACCAAAGGATGGGAGGTTGGTGGAAGGGAGTTAGAGGCATAAACACCCCTAATAAAGGAGAGTTTTAAAAAGACTGCTACAGTTGGCTTTCCAATATACTACGCTTTGGAATGATTATGAGTTAAGAGGATATTGACCTGTGTATACCCCTAAATATCCATATCTCATAATTAGACCATTTTCTACACATCACTTGCAATCAATTCTCCCCACATCTGTTCTTTCAGGTGAAAGTTCACAGAAGCCTGGTGGCTGTTCACCCCACAAAGGTGTCTGTTGCCTGTGATCAGGGGAGGAAGATGAAGAATGAACACAGTCATTCACATGCTCCACTCTGAAAAGAGGCTGCTTCCTGCTCATAGTGACTAAATTTGTTTTGAATCCTGAGAATCTCACTTTCCACATTGGGAAGTAAAATGGTTTAGTGACCTATCCCACAGGCTAGTCAAACAGGGTCTACTTGGAAGAGAGAGTGGGAATTGACAGGGAACAGAGATGTGAAGAATGGAGGCCAAGACAGGTTTCTGATCAAGGCCCCCTTTACAGAACATACAAACAGCACTTATAAAGCAAAGGGTTACAAGCAATTTTCTCACCGTAACAGCTCATCTGCATCACCTGGCACAGCATCTGAGGATTCACTCAAGGTTACACAAAGTTTGCTATCTGGTTCTCAGGGTTGCACAGAGTTTATGATCTAGTTCTCAGGACCAGAGCACCCCACTGGAAAATTTGCCAAGGTCAGCTTTCCAAAGGTTGTCAAGGTCAGTCTCTGAGAAACTGAACTTTAGATTAGACCCGTGTCTGTCAAGGCCAGGAGGCAAAACTCCATTTACCAGACTCCTTCAGTACCCTGTTCTTTGTATTTTGGAGAGCCTGCCTTAGGTTGGTGAAATGTGTGTTTCCCTTACCTGTCATCAAGGTCTCGAATGCAATTTTCACGAGCCTCTGTCTTATGTTGGTAAAACCAGTTTTACTCGTACTTGTCACTGACTTACCTCCATATCAAACAGGGTTGTTAGAGCTCTTTAGTTTAAATTCATGCAGCTGCACTTGCATGCATTGAAGTTGTTGAAGAAGGAGCTGTAACACGCAAG